CTTAGGACAATTGTGTGGCATTTCTATTCCAGATGTCGGTTCAAAAGTTTTTTGTGTTTGTTTGATAAATGTTGAAGCATCCAATAACGCTTCATTTTGTTCATAATGTACAAGTGGTTCATGATGAATTCCTTCACCTCCAAAACCCACCCAACCAAAACGCACCAATCTAAAATATAATTAATTCCGCGACCATTTACTTATATGAAATCAATATTTAAGTCAAACTTTAGAACAATTATTGAGTATTTAAGTCAAATTTTGAAACGATTATTAAAATATTAGTGAAATTAAATTAAAGATGATGTTTACTATTAAAATGTAGTGCTCTTGTAGGAATAGTTTGAGTAGATAGTAATAAGAATTAAAAATTTCTATAAATCATAATCAAATCTTATATAACTTTATTCTAACATTCTGTATGCAAATATTTATTACTTAATATTATTACTAATATGTGTATCTTATGTATTACAAAATAAAATTTTGTTAATTTGAAATAACAGACAGATAGGTTTATCTGAGAATTTAATTTCAAAATTAAAATATCATATAAAGAAGTCGTATACCGTTGTTCTTGGTTAATTTTTTGCACAATTCTTGCTATTTTATCTTTATGATGATCCATACATTTTCTTTCTTCAACAACAAATACGACGTCATGCTCGGTGACTGATTTCTCAATTCTTTTTTCATCATCCAAATGCAAATCACCGTCACATTTCACTACAATTTGAATGTGCTTTTTTTCCTCTCATTAAATTTAAAACGGATCATAAAATGAATTTATAAAATCACAGTAGAAATTTTGTATAAATGTATATGAATGAAGGTAGTAATGCATGTGAAAAAAATGTATAGAAATTAAACGATAGCAAATTATTAAATTGTTATGAACAGTTAAATTATATCAAAATATGATAAAAATTATTAAAAGAATATTAGCAAATGCAAATATATAAAAATCGCTAAAAAAATCAAATACGTTAAAAAATGAAAGTGAAAAAAAGTATATCAAAGTGAAAATAAAAAGTTCAAGATACGTAGAAAAATTGAATATATCAACATATGAATAGTGATAATTTAAATTATTTGAAAAAGATAAATGCAAAATCAAGTATATAAAAACGGATATGAATAATTTAAATAAGCTAAAATGAGCATAAAGATAGCACTTACCGCATTCATGAGGTAATGTCGTAATGATTCCCGCATTTGAACATATTTGAAGATATGCTGAAGTAGCCGTACAATGCTGCTGTTTTCCGCCATTTGAGCAAATTTGCTCAAATGGTTTTGGTCTTATCTTAATTTAAAAAAAAACTAAATTACTCCAAAACGTTAAAAAAAACAAACATTGATGGACGGTTAAATTTTACACACAAAAAAAAATTTGTGCCTAAATTTTTCACATACAAAAAAATCTTCAAATGCTTCTTAAATTTCATATATAAAACATTCAAATTTCTAATTCTAATTCACATTTAAAAGAAGAAAACAACTATTCACAGGCGCTTAAATTTTACATGCAAAAAAAAATTGTGCTTAAATTTTCTACATACAAAATGAATTCTTCAAATGTTTAAATTTTTTACATTACAAAAAAGATTTAAATCTCAAATTTTAATTTAGATTTTAAAAAAGTAAGTAAATACTTGAGTGAAACAGCGTTGTAATGGACTATCAGAATTTTGGAAATATTCTTGGCAACGATCATCATCACGATATGTTAAATCTCGAGCTTGATTAACACGGCATTCACCATTTATTGCCCAATGCTCAGCCAATACATTTAACTATAATTTTTCATTTTTTTTTAGTATATTTTACATGAAATTGTATTTGTCTCATATTTGTACGAAATAATAACAATATTTCTATATTTAAATTAATCACAATAATGCATTATTACGGTTATCAAGTAAACTGTATTTGTATTTAAATATATTTATTACAAAAGATTAGTGTTTCCGATAACTTTCTTAAGTTTAATTATTCAGTACAATATCTGAGTACAATATTAGGAAATCATTTGAGAAATTATTTAGATATTATTAAAATATGGAAGAATTAGTCAAGTCTAATTCCTATCTATTTACCTGTTTTATTTTATTTCATCCACACTTATTTTATTTTACATTTATTTTTCTCAATAACTGAAAAAAATTTTGCTATGGATTTAAACACAATAATTTTGAATATTAAAACCGAGTCCAAAACATATTCATAATTCAAAAATTTCAACAATTATATCTTTTCTCATTCTTATTGTTGTGAACACAACCAACTACATATTAAAAATGATTCCCATTCCTCCATTTCATTTATATTCCAATATTTGCATTTTAAAGCGAAATATTTTTTTATTTGCATTTTAGAGCGATAAAAAAAAATATTTTATGGGATAGAAAACAGTTAATTATGCTTATCAAAAATTATGCTTGAATAATAAAACTTCACGTAAACAAAAAGAAAACAATATTAACCAATATTTGTCAAACAATTATCAGAAAGCTAAGGCATTAAATTATCCGATAAAATATCATTGTAGAAAGCATTGAGTAGTTAATTTTCAATTAAATTTATCAAATTTAAAATAGCCAGTTTTTTTTTTGAAGAAAAAAACCCGTATTATGCATGGCAAAAATATTTAAAATTAAGCATAATTAAATTTCATTTTACCTGATCATTAGGTGTATTATCCACTAAATTATAATCATTTGATGGTTCATTATCATTTGATCCAAGAAGACCATTACTTCGTCCATGCATTCGTCCCGGTAAAATTATTTCACAAATATCATATTGGCTATTACATCGTATATATAAACCTTCATATGTTTTTAATATCGTCCAATGATCTTTCCGATAAATTGAAATTAAAATTACCCCGTCAATACCATCTATCTTTTGCCATGGCATTGATGTTATTGGAGCACCATTTACATATGCCTAAAGTTTATTAAATTTTTTTAAATAAAAATTTTAAATCATATAATTAAAGTTTCAGTAAGCAATAAAGTTATTTGGCTGAATTTTCAAATAAAAATAAGAAATTTAAAAATTTAAAATATCAAATTAACGAAAAGTAAATTTGAAATATTAGTGAAATATTTCCATGTATGTCTGCTTATTGCTTACAGTTTTGCATTGAACAAAATGAATTTTAGCTTTTTTAAGAAAAAAATTTCTTTTAAGATTATATAATTGAAATTCTAGAAGCAATAAGGTTTATTTATTTGGCTTAATTTTTAATTAAAAATGAGAAACTTGAAAATTTGAAATAGCAAATTAACGAGGGATATATTTGAAGTATATCAATCACTAATTTCTCCATTGATGAAAAAATCATTAAAATTAATGAATAAATAAATAATCGAAAATAAATAACATTGCCGGTTTTATACAAAATCATTTCTTCTCCACGCAATTCAATTTTAATAGCATCCAAGTGCCCCTGTGATGAAAATATGGCTAATAATGCAAAACGTTGAGTACGTAAATCGGACGCAAGAAGATATTCGCAACGAGCATGAAATGCGAATACTCTCCCGTCAAATGTTATGAAACGATTACCATTAATTATATATGCAATACCTAAATTTTAAAATAAAAAAAATTTCATCTTTTTTTTACATTATCACAGTGCTCATTTCTAAATGAATTCAGAATTAAAACCAACTTTTTTTAAACAAGAAATTGATAATTAACATACTTTCATGTAGTGATATTATTTTCCATGGATTTAATTTTGTTGATTTATAAGTATAAATTGTATCTGTTAAAGATTGTGCAAATTCCTAAAAAAAAACCAGTAAATGATAAAATAATTCCTAAAAACCGTAAAGTGATCAAATAATTCCTGCAAACAATGAAGTGATGAAATAAGAAAAATTGTTGCAATTTGATAATAAAATTAGACCTGATCTTTCAGTGATAAACCAAATGATTCGATCATTGCTGATTTGAGAGCAATGAAATGTTGCGGATGAAGAATGCTCAAAACTTCACTCAATGATGAGATATCGTATGGGACAGTTACTTGCAACTCATACTCTCCTGGTGATAAACGCT